AAAAAAAAAAAAAAAAAAAAAAAAAAAAAAAGCAGAAGACAAATGCATTTTGATCGTTTAGGAACTTATTTCTTCTTTCAAAACTTTTCTGGGTCCAGAGCTGGTCTTTCCTCAAAGTCTCAGCAGGGAGGGGGGAAAGAGAGGGTGAAGCCGCTTGTTGATGGCTAGCTCTGTGCTTGCTCTGGGCTGGACACAAATGTCATCTTCCCCAACCTTCACAAGGACCCTGCAAGGTTAAGGCTGTCATCATCCACTTTACAGATCCGGAAAAGAAGGTTCAGAGAGGTGAGGGGACTTGTCCAAGGTCACACAGCCCCTGAGTGGCCAAACGAGGGGTCCAGCTCACCCCTGTCAGCGCCTGTGTCTACCCTACAGCAAACTGAGGTGTTTCCAGAAGGTCAGATGGCTTATTGTGGTCTCAAAGTTACATGAATGGTGAGGACCTGTGGGCTGCTCTGGGGTTTCAGACACTGAGGCTGCCTTTGCAGCTGACTCACTCCTCAATCTTGACAAGGTAACAGATTTCACATTTACAAAGTGGGAATCGTCATCTCAAATTCAGGTGAAGTAATACTATGATATCATCGCTTCCTCAGCTATGCCCGGAACACATTCTAGGAGCCAGACCCTCTGCTGGGGGCTTTCCGTGGGTTAGCCTGTCAAGAGCTCGGATTCTACAGCTCTGCCACTTGCGAGCTGTGTGACCCTAGGCAAGCTACGCTGCCTCTCTGTGCCTTCATTTCCTCATCTGTGAAAGGAGGGTACTATTAGTTCCTATTGTACAGAGTTGTGAAGTTAAATCAGTTATGTTGGTAAAGGGCTTTGAAGGATGCCTGGCACAGGGTACACACCCAGCTCATGTGTTAGCTGATATTGGGCTCAACTTTTTGAGATGGGCCTTGTAATTTTCCCAGAAGTACAGATGTGGAAACTGAGGCAATGCAGTACAGTGATTCTCAGACTTGGTGCGCATCAGAATCACCTACAGAGTTCATTAAAATATGGAGGGCTGGGTCCGCTCCCAGCATTTCTGGTTCATGAGTCTTGGCTGGGCCTGAGAATGGCATGTCTAGCATATTCTCCAGTGAAGCTGCTACTGCTGGCCCAGCGGCCACACTTTGGGAACCAGTGCTCAGTAGCCCTGAGTGTGGCCCATTCGGCCAGGGCCAGCTAGGAGGACCTGTAATAGCAGAGACTCAATAAATAATCTGGCATGTGACTTGAGCGAGTGATTACAGAGAGAGGAAAGGTTGTTGGACCAGGAGCCCTGGGGTTCTGGTCTTGAATCTGCTCCCGACTCTCTGTGGGACTAGACCAAATCATCTTTCTCTTGCATTCGTGGTTTTCTCCTCTGTAAAATGGGGGTGATGATAACCCTTCCTCACAACAGGGGTCTATGAAGATGAGACAGGGCGTGGCACAGCTCTGACACCCACAGCAAGAATGATAAGGGGGGGCCTAGCCAGTTTGGCTCAGTGGATAGAGTGCTGGCCTGCAGACTAAAGAATCCCAGGTTTGATTCTGTTCGAGGGCGCATGCCTGGGTTGCGGACTCATCCCCAGTGGGGGGCGTGCAGGAGGCAGCCAATCAATGATTCTCTCTCAGCATTGATGTTTCTATCTCTTGCGAGCGAGTGATTACAGAGAGAGGAAAGGTTGTTGGACCAGGAGCCCTGGGGTTCTGGTCTTGAATCTGCTCCCGACTCTCTGTGGGACTAGACCAAATCATCTTTCTCTTGCATTCGTGGTTTTCTCCTCTGTAAAATGGGGGTGATGATAACCCTTCCTCACAACAGGGGTCTATGAAGATGAGACAGGGCGTGGCACAGCTCTGACACCCACAGCAAGAATGATAAGGGGGGGCCTAGCCAGTTTGGCTCAGTGGATAGAGTGCTGGCCTGCAGACTAAAGAATCCCAGGTTTGATTCTGTTCGAGGGCGCATGCCTGGGTTGCGGACTCATCCCCAGTGGGGGGCGTGCAGGAGGCAGCCAATCAATGATTCTCTCTCAGCATTGATGTTTCTATCTCTTGCTCCCTCTCCCTTCCTCTCTAAAATATATTTTAAAAAATGATGAGGGGAGGGCCTTGGTGGAAGGTGTCAGGCACCGGGTGCTCACGACCATCCTTCATGCTGTCCTTTCCTCTAGCACTGAGGGCTGTAGCTCATTCCCTTCACTTCTTCCTTGAACCTGAGTTTGGAAGATCAAGGCCAGACTGTCCCCCACACCCCGTGGCACTCTGCAGAGGGCAGCATGCTTGCTGTGGCCACAGGCTGTATAAAGGGGCCTGTGTTCCGGCCCATCACCTCCCACTGTGCCCGGTGGTTTTCTATTTCAGATGCTGTAAAAATATCACCTTTGATCTCAGCTTGTGGCTCTTAAAAAAAGAAGAAACCACCAACAGGCTGGGTTTTCATTTTTCCCTGCCCCTCCTCCCTCTCACCTCCAGCTCCCTGCTCTTCTCCCCATCTCTCCATTTTCCCCTGGCTCATCCTCGCCTCCCTGGAGCACCAGCATCCTAGCTGGACAGAGCCCCTTAGGAATCAACTTGTCCCTCTTTGGGCCTCTCCCAGTCCCCACAAGTGCTGTCTACTGAGGGACAGGACAAATGAGGGTGTGTGTGAGGCGGCTGCCCTTTCCCCTCCTCCCGCTCTCCTTGCCCCTTCTTTTCTGCTCTGAGGGCCAAGGATCTCCAAGATTCCCTGCTTGGCCAGGCCAGGCCACTTCTCCAGCTGCTGTCAAGCACATGGTATCAATCACAGCCCTGCATCGGTGAAGTCTTAGGTCTTCCCCAGAATTAGAGTGAGAACAGCAAGTGGGGCCTCCATATATCAACCACCTTCTCAGAGAGCCCGGTCAGCAACATAGACTTGCCTGGAGGAGTGGCCTTTGGGCCTGGCAGGTCTGATATCCCCCCTCCTGGCTCAGTAGGCACAAAAACACCCCTCTGGCCTCCCCCAGCCTCTCCCTTGCACCTTTCCTTTCTGCAAACTCTATGGAGATGCACCCACGGATCACCCGGCCTGGCTTTCCCTCGTACTCTGGCTTCTGCTCTTGCCTTCCTAAGACATCCTTGGGCTTGCTCACTCCACACTGAGGCCTCTGAGCCAGAAGCCCTTTTAGTTAGAAAGTTGCCTTCTCACCTACTGTGCCCCTCCTGCCCTGTCACCCCTCTACTTCATGAGGTCATCTCCAAGGGCCCAGCTCTGGCAGAGCGGTCAGAGAACCCCTCTTCCCCAGAAGTTTGCATTTTGTGCCAACTGAGAGGTCAAACAAGCCTCAAACCTCTGGCTCACACCCAGCTTTGAGCTGTTGCAATGTTTTTCTTTGGTTTCAACTTTTAGAGAAAGCAACAAAATACCACTCATTCAACAAACACTTCTCCACAGGTCATCTGTGCCTGGCCCTGTGCTGACATGGCCACTGCCC